ATATATATATATATATTTATGCACTCTAAGTGATTGTAAATTTTTAAAGACGTAGTTGGGGGGAGGGAATAAAACCGGGTTTGGTAAATTGAAACCCAAATGACCCTAAATCGTAAATTGGGTCCCGGGTATTAGGTAGTAGCCACTAGTAGGTAAGTTGAGTCCCGGAAAAATAAAGTTATAGATAATTTGAGTCCTAGGGAAAAACGATTTAAATGCATTTAAAAATATGCACTATATAATTTTTATTTGTGATTTGTGGACATTCATTGACTGCATGTATATGATTTTGAAAATAGCAACATGCATTTTTATTAATTTTATAATTATTTATTTCCCCAACGATGAAATAACGATATACTCTTAACAATACCAAAGTAATCACGGTCAATAAAGGCTGATAATTTTGTAACATCGTACCTTTTGATTAAACGCAATTAAGATACCAATAAGTAGGGCCGTAGGGGCTTGTTCGTACGTATATACTATATATACGTATATTAMGCCMWTACGRKATCTTAAATAATATGGTAAATTGCGGTCCATTTTTAATTTTTTATGTAAATTGCGGCCTGGGCATATTTTGCACATACGTTAATTGTGGAATGGGTATAATTTTTATTACCTACCCAAATATTTTTTATCAATAATATTAAAATCAGTATTTTCCTTCTCATTGTTCAGACTTAGGGCTGTCAATATAATTGTATCAATATTGGTATGATTAGGAATATTGGTTTGGCTGTTTTTTTTTTGTTTTTTATTAAAATATATTATTAGCAATACTTATTACTAATAAGTTATTAGTAATAAAATGTCAATAAAAATGTGTTATTAAATAAGGYCATCGATGACTACACTGACTGGCGACTGCTAGTAATATATTATATTAGTGAACATATTATTATTATCTAAATCGATCATTCAAAGATTAATCTTTAAATTGTACAACCRATCGGAAATCGGAATATMCCAGGCCGCAATTTACGTATACTTTAAAAGTACATGGACCGCAATTTACGTAGTATATAACTATGACCTTTTTTGGGGGACGCAATCTACMGACTCCGAATATTATAATGTAATGTATAATAAAAATGACATTTATTTTTATTTTTTTTATTAATTTATATTTTTAATATTTTTAATCAATATAAATCTAAATATTATATCCTTACATAAATAGCTTAACATAAGTCAAAATATTTACTTACTACCAATTTTTTCCCGGGACTCAACTTACGTACTACCTTATTTTCCTGGGACTCAATTTACCGCTTTCAAAGGGAGGCTTTCATTTGACCCAAAATAACATATCGTTTGGGCGAATTTATACATACCATTAACTTGGGCGAAATTTACAAGGCCCCCTAATTTATCTAATACATCTTTTGGGCGAGCTATAAATATATATGTATAAACATTTATATAGACTAATAGGTTTTCCTTTCCATTTTTAGGACACTCAGTTAACTCTAACTGGTATGGTTAAAAATCTTTTATATATATATATATATATAATATTTATTGTATTAACTAAATTTTAATTAATAAATGTCACACTTCAGTATCTGATTAGATTAGACATAAACAAAAAAAATGAAAACCCACGCATCTTAGTACAATCTAAGTATCTAACAAATTATCATTCACTATCTATATTTTTGAATTGGTGTATGAATACCAATCAGCCGAAACGATATAATAATAATATTTAGCTGCAGGAAATATTATAAAATTATTGTAGACGTAGGTATGTTACTTCCCTATTGTTCAATAATTTATAAATTTGCCTAAACAAACAGTCAATTTCTCGCCCAAATGATATATGCTTTACTCAGGTAAATTTCGGGTTTTCGCCCAAATGAATGACGCCGTTTCAAAATGTACATGTACCAAACTTATCTCGAACTCAAGTTACCTAGCCCCGCTAAAACCTAAGGAACAAAAAGTCTATCCAATATAAAGTACACGTAAATGTTTCTATATTGTTTTATAACAAACATAAAAAATAATACATAATCATTGTAAAATCATAACATTGATTGCTCCGCTCAAAATCTAAAATAAGTATTTTGCACATGAATGTTTTACGATATTTTTAAAACATATATAGACATAATATAATAATATATTGTTTTATAAATAACGATATTTTATGAAAACTTTTTTTTTTCAAATTACAAAATCAACAGTAGTAATAAAAAACTAGTAATATCTATAAACATAATATTACAAAAATCTTTAAACCTATTTAATGCTAACAATTTATTGATTTCAGGAAACGTATATAACCAAAGAAATCAATCCAATAATTGCACTAATGTCGAAAAAAAAATATGATCCTCAATTGTTTATAGCTGCAGGGACGTTTGAATATGAAAAACATAATATTGTGAATGCTAGACGATACTTCGAAGAAGGAATTAAAATACATACAGATAACAAAACTCTTTATATCGAACAATTATGGATTGAAGTGATGTACTTGGATGATGTAAAAGGTGGTAAATTGAATGAAGATATAGCAATTCGAATATATAGAAATAGTATAGAAAAATTTGCTCAGGATATGGAATTTCATTTCCTATTGTTGGAGAGATCTATAGAATTAAAATCCATATGGAGATTACAACACCAAATTATCTGGTACATATACATTTATTTATAAATTAATTTTTAAATCATTTTAAAATTGTTTTATTGTTACATATTTTAGGGACTTGATGAAAATATACAATCAAAGTGATGTTATGTGGAGTAAAGTTGCTGAATTGGGCTCAAAAGGATTCATTTTTGACCACGAAATTAACTTCTTCGGATATACCGAAAACTTCCTACTTAGAGCGAGGTTGTTTTAAATGATACTACTAATCATTAATAATAATAATATCACATTTTTCTTAATATATAACTTACTATAAGGTTATTTTTTAAGAGTTAACACTTAAAGCATTTAATTACTTGTCTATCTAAAAAAAAAAAACATTCAAGTATTTTAAAATATTTCTTATACATTGTTAAGGTTGGTAATCATAAAGAAGTAGTATTTTTTTTTTAAATGTAAAAAATATAGAATGTTGTTTTGCAATGGCTTTAAATGACCTATGAAAGAACTTAATATTTTAAAAATATTTGTACTTATAGTCTTCCAAAATTATAATTAATTACCTACTATTTAAAGAATCACTCTGCATATAACATATATTTTTATTTTATTAGATAGGTAAGTAATCTACATGGTTATTGTATATATTAGTATGGTTTTGTTTTATAGGTGTTGTATTCTAACATACGAACAAGGATTGAGAAATATCTTAAGCGTAATAGGTAAACGCAATTTGATGGAGTTGCTTAGCGATTATATAATACAAATTTGGAAAATTAACAAAAGTATAAACAGTATAAAAGTCGATATTCTCGTGAAAGAGGAGATGAAAAAGACATTTCAGATTGGCCACTTTGACCTTGGAGGTCTACACAAACCAGAGTATTACGTTTATTGGGTAAGTTTTGTTAAAATGATAATACACTAAAATTTTTAAAATGACGATTTTGTTTTGTTACAAAGGCCATAATCTCCGAAGATTGTCGCCCCGATATTTTGAAATTGGCCATCGATCGCAACAGAGACAATATTCACGTGTGGKCTGAAATTTTGGAATATCATATTACACAAAATAGTAGTGTTGAACAAATAAAAACGATTTTTGATGCCGGTAATTGGTCATTGGGAAATAAGTCATCGCTGCTGTGGACAATTATGGATTCGTTTTACCAACAGTGCACTGACATCACACTAGTATGATAGTATTTATTATTATTCCCGTATACTAAGTATATTGACAAAAACTACTTGTCGACTACTGGCTATCCATTTAATATTCACTCAGCTCTTAAAGTTATAAAGATAGTTATATAGTTTAATGATCGATAGATTGAAAGATGTTTGATTTAATAAAAACACAGCATTTTTCGTCGTTCTTTGATCGTCCAAACTTAAAAAAAATATGTGCCTATTAATTCCGAACAATAAGTAATTTATGAAGGTTACATACGCATAGGCGCACATAGGGGGGTGCTTGGGGGTGCTT